ATTAGATGAGATTAGATAAATTTTTAATTGACTAATTAATTATTTAGTTAGTAACATGTACGGCTCGTTAGATGAGCTCTCGTATAAGATAAGTTAAATTCTGGTATTGTATTGAATTTAACCATAAAACCTCTTGATAAAATTTAATTGTATAGGGAAGGAATGCTACTAAATAAATGAAATAGTAGCATGTAGTAGTACATTTTAGTTTTTTTGGCAATTTTGTATAAATACGAATCTCATCAATCGAACATATTATGAGCTCCAATTATTTAGTTACTAGAACCTAATACAATTAAACCTCTATAAATTAATACAATCGGGACTAACAAAATTCTATTAATTTAACAAAATATTAAATTATCAGACTAATAATTTTATATATTTTCACCGACTCGAGACCGAAATAAATTATTATTTAAACAAGATTATGAATTTAATTATTGAGGTTCTTCTGTAATAGTTGACACCTATTTGCTGGTTGGAATTGTGAGTATATGATTGCTTGGTGGTTTCATTTGGGACAGTCTTCATTGGCTGCACATGTAAATTCGTGATCCATGATGAATAAATGGAGGAGAAGTCAAAGTTTAACATAATGAGTTGACCCTTAGTGCAGTCAACCCACTATATCATTTTGTTTTTATTTAACACCGTTCCCAAATATCATTTTCGTCGACATAAAAAATTCTCATTCATGTATGTGCAATAAATAGATTTTATTATTCTGTAATAACTTGCTAACCTTACGAAAATGGTAAAAACAGCATCGGACAAATCTAGAACGATAATTCAGATTTCATACATAGAATTTCTTTTAACTAATTAAACGAACTCGAACAATTACAATGTGTTTGTTCTCTTTTACATTGTAATTGATAAAAATAAGATTACAAGTTAATCGAATCTTGTTTAATATAAACTAAAAACTTAATGCTCAAGAAATGCAAGATCTCGAAAATATATCGAAACCTTTCAAGTATCAGGCAGTATCTTGGTATGTTTTGATTGGTGTAGATTTAGCTGCAACACTTTGCTGGCATTTAGATTCTTGCACAAAAATCTTCCTTGTCATCGTTGACTTATTCATGGCTCCTAATTCCGTTTTTTTTTTTTTTTTTTTTGGTAACGAAGGAATTATCGGTATTTGTTGGTGCCAACTAATATACCCTGAACCGATAACTTCTAATCGGGAACTTACTATGAAAATAGCCTAACATATTAATAACTTAAACTCAGATAACAAAAATCGAAGAAACTTATCTTTTTCTTCATCTTCGTCGTAGTGCAGAATAGCCCAATCCTCGATTATTCGGTTAGTGAAGAACTAGTATAAGTCTTGCAAGAGTTCCCTGATGTGCAGAGATCAGGATTGCCTGTTACCCTGGAAATTAATATAAGACCATCATTTTTATTTTATTAATTTTTTAATTCAAAATCAATAAAAAAACACTTTTCGAAACTCGAGTTCACACTAAATTTAGGCCGATTTTCTTCGACAAAGAATCCGGTACAGGGCCGCTGAATTCGTTGATTGCCAGATTCCTGTGGTGTATATATATATGAACAAAATAAATCATTTAATTTTCTACTAATTAATAGTTCATAAAATTAAGGGTAAATTACAAACACCCCCGAGGTATGGTCAAATTACGAAAAAAACCCTCATGTTTGAATTATTACATCTACCCCTCAACTATGAATCTTCTTACACGTCCACCCGTTATGGTGTCATATACAACATAATCTTCTAGATTCCGTGGCATGTTCTCTAGTTTGTACTCGTTTTTAAAATGCATTTTCTGATGCACCACAATATGAAATATACAAGCCAAAAAATACATTTTATGATCATCTTGCTTCAAAATGTGGAGTTCGAATGGGATAAAACGGGTACAAAATTGAGAATAGTCCATATAATTTAGAACATTCTACTAAATTTGACACCGCAAGGTGGACGTGTAAGAAGATTTATAGTTTAGGGGTGATTGTAATTACCCAAACAGGAGGGATTTTTTCGTAATTTGACCATACTCAGGGGTGTTTTAATTTACCGTAAATTAAATATTTTGGAAAATGTTGAAAAATGTGCTTACAGTTGTTTAAGATTAGGTAATGTGGCAAGGAATTCAGGGATTGGCCCTTTTAAGGTGTTATTATGAAAATCTCTGCAAATCAAGAAACTATTATTAGAAACATAGAAAATTAATTATTTAATTAATTAATTAGCTAAAACATGTTTAATAAATTACATTAAATATTCTCACATTGTTTCAAGTGCATCCATTGTACTAAAATCTGGAACCACCCCTGTGAGATCAAAGCTACTAAGATACCTGTTATCAAGAAACATATTTAAAAAAATATATGAAATCATTTTCCTTAATATTTTTCAGTTATATATATATATATATATATATATATATATATATATATATATATATATATATATTAAAAATATTACAGTGCTGTTACTCGCGGCCTAGGGTCGCTGTTACACTCGATCCATTCCCACGAATAAGGCTTCGGTAAACACGGATCGCCGCTCCAATCTTGTAGCACACCGAAAGCACTTTGCAAAATCAATAATCCCTCAACTAATTAAATCACCAAAAAAACAAATCCATTAAAAAAATAACAAAAAGAAAAATCATTAGTAAATAAACAAGAACAAGAGTTTCCACCATCTTTGCTATCGGTTCCATCTTCGAGCAAATCTCCGATAAGGAAAATTTCCATTGCATTAATAATAGGTGGCAATGTCGATTCCTCCATAGGGGCCAAAGCAAATGTAATATTCGAAAAAACCGTAATATTGCTATCGTACACTTCGAGGCAACTCCCATAAGGCGGTACAATCGGACTATCCAAAACGGGTTCGTCGTCTATAAGAAGTTGAAAGGATCTTTTTTCGGTGGTTGTGTTGAGCATAGCCACTTCGGAAAAATACATACTTAAGTAGATATTAAAATTAACCGGAGGGAATTGCAATCGAAATTTTATCCTATCGGATGGGTTAACTGCAGTCATTGCATTTTGGAGCACTGCATAGGGAGGCCGGTCTAATATACCGGTTCGAATATGGGGAGCATCACTTGCAACGTCAATTAGTCCATGTTTGCGTACAGCTGGGGCCCACACTCTGTCGTAAGGGTCGTCTTTATACCTGCAATTTTGATTTCATTCTGTATTATTATCTGTTCGTGTATTATTATAGACCGATATTTAAAAAAGGTCATGGTTTTAATTAGGATGATATATAGTATCTACATTGATATGAGGCCTTAAAACAAATTTGGAAAAATTGAAAATCGGAAATTCGGAAATTGGAGTGAAAAACCTTGTTCCTGATACGAAAAGTTTCGGATCGGAATTGGCGGGATTTGGAAATTCTAAATTTTTCGGTCAACTATGATACAAATTGCTAATAATATTGATATAAGTGTAATCTTCAGAAAAAATGTCAGATCTTTTAGGATTCTTTTCGGAAATTAAAATCGCATTGGAAATCAAAATCTAATATGTATTCCAATTGATCGAAGTTGAAACTTTCGGAGTTTGGAATGAAAAATGTTGTTCTAAAATTGGATTTTTTTTTATGGGAATCGGCGGAATTCAGAATTTACTGCATTTAATACCCTTGTGTCATACCGAATTGATTATAAGAACTTCCCGTGTTATAAATATTAGCAAAACTCTCCTATGATGTACTTTTGTAGCTCACAACCCCTTATATGGTGCATTTTTCGGGGGTTATTTGCTATTGAAATATAATCATGGGGGAAATTGGCCTAATATTTACAGTTCAAGGAATTATTTAGTATTTCGGTATAACACAGCCTGTTAACTGCAATAAACCCTATTAATATTATTATGTGCACTTCATTAGGTATATCATAGAGCAAACTATGTGAACGATGTCGAAATCGAATAAAGTTCATCTGAATCAGAATGCTCGCAATATAATCAAATAAAACTTCCCAACAAAATATGATATAAATTC